GAGGTGGTGGTGTTATAAGTATGTGTAAGAGGGGATTCAAAAATATCGTCAAAGATGGCTCAGCTACGTTGCAGGGCCTGACCGGGAATTGAACCCGGGACCTCGTCGAAAGAATGGTATGGAATCTAGCTCACCCTAACAACGAATCATACTCCTAGACCATCAGGCCGTGGTTAAAGTTCACGAAAAAAAAGAATCTCGTGCTTGAGGCTTTGAGCATACAGAGGTAACTGGAAAGAACATTTGAAGAAGACTTGGAGGATGGAGGAGGTACTCAACTTGAGTACTCAATAACTACTGGCGTGATCAATTTACGCTTTGCGTAAGGTCCGACTCGTTCAGCGCTGAGCAAGGATTTCGGAATTCCTACTACACTGAGTGCTGCGCGCTGAGCGCCACTGATTCCAAATGCCACTGGATGACAACTTCAACAGTCTCAAGAGAACCTTCTCAGAAGAACTTCTGAACTTGAACGAGACAGGACCTCGGTATGGATATGAACAGTTGACGTACTTGTAGTTTGTTGATGTGTACGAGCAGATGTGCGAGAAGATGTATGAGCAGATGTATGAGCAAATGATATCGACATCGACATCGACATCACAGATCGCAGATCACTGGGTGGTTGTGAAGTATTGTGGTGTATCTATAAGTACTGTGATTTCTTCGGTGATTTTCTGTGATATTTATGATATGGCGGAGCACAGATTCACAGATCATTGAGTGTCGTGGTGTATGTACAAGTACTGTGATTTCTTCGGTGATTTTCTGCGATATTTGTGATATTGGGATTATTGATATGTATTGGTATGTATACGGCGGCGGGGGTTGTAGGGAGATTATCTTATGAATTCGTGAGCTGTTGAAGGTAGAAATTGAATTTATTGATATGTATACGGCGGCGGGCGTTGTAGGGAGATTATCTTATGAATTCGTGAGCTGTTGAAGGTAGAAATTGAATTTATTGGTATGTATACGGCGGCGGGCGTTGTAGGGAGATAATCTTATGAATTCATGAATTCGTGAGCTGTCGAAAGTAGAAGGAACTGTGGAAAATGAATTTATTGATATTAGTTAATAATATCAGATTCACTGGGAAACTGTAATAATTAAATAAAACAAGGCCCGACGTATGGCACGAGACGTGGGGACGCCCGGTGGACAGAGACAATCGGCGTTGAGATGTTGAAAGACGTGAGTGGATAGTTGGGAAGTGGACGTCTGGACAGGTACAGAGGGTTGTTGAGGGCTGTGAATGGAATACCCGGAAGGGAAACCCGATGATACATGATACATACTTAAATACCTCTTTAGTAGAACACGGAAGTTTCGCTGCGCGTTCCGCTTTCCGTCCCGAGGGCTTTCCGTCCCGAGTGATTTTGCTAAATAAAACATCTACTGTAATTGTCGGTGAAACCTATGAGCGATTGCGTTTGAGGGATTGAAGGGCTCGGGAGTCGGGAATCGGGAGAGTGTAGTAGGTTGTAATAGAATGGGTCAGAGCGGGTTAGAGCGGGTCGACTTGTCACGTAGGAAGAATTGAGTACTGGTTTGCGAAACTCGACGTTAGTAGTAATGATTCTCGGCAGGGTCGAGTGAACGGACTCGGCAGATGCTTTGAAATGCTTTTAAATCGCGCTAACAGAGGCTAACAGAAAGGCTACAGAGCTAAGAAGAGCTAAGAGCATAGCTGTGAGCTTGGGCCTGCTTGGCTCTCCCGAGTTGTTGAAAACGCTGAAACAGGGTAGGACGAAAGTAGTACCCCATCTTCATCGTGATGCTGATGCGATATGTGGCCCCGAAAGATTTCCTTTTTTTCGAGTGACAGAGTGCACGCTCAGTGGGGCCTGGGCCTGGGGCCCCACTGAGAGAGAGAATGGTTATTGAGAGCGTGTATGTAGTGAACGTTTGAACGGTCGAGGCTTTGGAGGCTTTGGTTGTTTGAATGGGCGCAGGTGATAACGGACTCGCGGAAAGGAATAGAGAAAGGTTTTAGGTTTGTCGATCAATATCGTGTGAAGTTGGGTCAAAGCGCCCAGGGTCCAATATAATTTTCCATATAGAAATTTCGTTCATGTACCTTGTCACTTCGAGGTGCCACTGCCAGTACGTCTTTCTCATCTCCTGTCATTTGGTGGTCAGTTCTTTTTCTTTTCTTTTCGTTTCAAACTTTGGGCTTCTTGGTTTTGGAGAAATACTTATCAGTTGTTCTGTTTTTACACAGTTGCTGGTTGCAGTTTGCGGTTTGCTGCGTAGTTTTGCGGAAATTCGACGACTGTTCATTTCACGAGTTTTCCATTTCGTCTGCCGCTCTTCTGAATCTCAACGTTATAAGCCTCCCAATTTCCGGACTTTTGCCGAACAGGGCCCGTCCTTTACGATAACTTCTAGGCGCAATTTTCTGGCAGGTGAGTAAAACTGTTCTTCATTTCCCAATTCGCTGTCGATCTTGCCCTTTTCTTTTCCTTTTCCTCGTGTAACTAAGTTATGTTTTCTTTGTGCAGCACAACCTGAACGTTCTATAATCCACACACTCTCTTTTCTCAACACACGCTCTTTCTTTATCTGCCAAAAAAAAAAGCCCGCCTGCGATGTTTACGCCCCCTGGATCTCCTCGAGCAAAGCTGGACCAGCCGAATCCTATGGATGCAATTCAGCATGAAGCTGCTCGCGCGCTCTTTTCTACACCACAGCCCTCGGGTTCTTCACTGAACCTGGACGAAAAACATTCGACATCAGCAAGTACATATTTATCATCATCTTCTTCATCACCCAAGGCACGGCCCTTCCTAACGCCGACGCTAAACCACGAATTCGAGCTCCAACTTCCCCCTTCCCCTACCACCAGCTCTGAATCCAAACGTCGCATTGGCCGTCGCATAAAATGGACGGCCATCGCAATACCTCTGGTTCTGATACTCGTTACGCTGGGCAATCACTGTGCGGTGGAACTGTTGGGCATGGCAGGTTGGATAAATGATCAAACTAAATCTGAGGGGATGCACGGTTCCTTATTTGACATGACTTTTGACGAGATGCAGTCGCATTCGCATCACAGTCATAGGCACGCTCAGGGACCAGCGCCGTCCGCTTCAGGAGAGACGCAGCTCGTGCGTCGTCAGACTTCGAGCAGCACCACGGCGTCGCCAACCATTTCTGCACTCGAAACACCTACATCTGCGGTTTCGGGCTCTACTTCGGGTTCTTCCACTGCATCGACGACGATACCAATTGCATCCCAGACCATACCGTCTATTCCTACCTCCAGTACGTGTCCGACATCTAAATCTCGAATATCACTCATTTTTGTCTCTTTTTTATTCTAGCGCCCGACCTCCCCACTCCTTTCCCTCAACCATGGGATTCCGCGATCGCTCAAAACTTCTCCACCACGTCCTGCTACAATTTTTTCCTCAACATGACCAACATGCAGGACTTCCGCAGTTGCAGGCCCTTTGGATTGTTAGAAAGTACAAGCGATGTCTTTGCTGATGTACGTCCAATCGTCTATCTCCTTCCCCATTTGCATAACCTAACTCGTCCCCCCACAGCTGCAAACGAACCTCACAGCCCTCAACGACGTCATCTGGGGCACCTGCAATCCGCCCCCTGGCATCGACCAATGCACCAGCACCATGTCCTCCTACGCCGCTGCCCTCCAATCCGCCTGCACCACCGACCTCGCTGCCTCCAACCTCTACGCCACCTCCACGCTCCAAGCCCTCCACGCCTACTCCCTCACCTACTCCACCGGGTGCGCCCCCGACCCCGCCACCAACACCTACTGCTACCTCCGCGCAGCACACAACTCCAACCCCTCGGATCTATACTTCTACAACCTCGTGAACGGGATCGCAGTGGCGAACACGACGACGCCGACGTGCTCGGCGTGCACCAAGTCCGTGATGAGCATGTATGTGAACGCGCTGGATGTGAACGGCGCGCAGCTGGCGGGGCTGGCGGCGGTGTATGGCGGCGCGGAGGCGCTGGCGACGAGCACGTGTGGGAGCGGGTATGCGCAGGTGGCGACGGGGACGGAGGCGGACCAGAAGGGGAATGCGGCGGTGGGTGCGGGGGGTTCTTCTTCTGAAGGGATGAGATGGGTTGCTGCGGTTGCGGTTGCGTTGATGGTGCCGGTATTGGGTTTCGCGATGTGAACGATGAATCCCTGCTAGAGATAGTGTTTCTGTTATTATCTTTGGGTTTTTGGGTTTCTCTTTCTTTTTTTGGGTTATTTCGGTTGCCATTTTTCATTCGTTGGACGGACTCGAACGAACTGTTGCATGGTTTTCGTTTTTTTTTTCTTGGTTTTTTTTTTTAAAAGATTTTAATTCTTTTATCAGCACGTCGTTCATCGTTCATTGGAGTGCTTTTTTTATCACTTTTATATTATTACTTATTGGTTTCTTTTTTTTGGTTCTACCCCCTTCTTGCTTTCTCATCGATACAAGGTGTTTTTTTTTTCCTTCTTGGGTTTTTTCCATGTGTGTATATTCGTTGCTACTGCTACCTGCTTTCCTCCGCTCTTGCTTGCTTTTGCTTAAATCTCCCCCCTTGCTCTCTTGCTCTTATACATCCCGAGCAATATATCTCACCCACATATCTCATATCTCATACCATATCACACACATCGTTAACTGCTATGCTTCTCCGTATTGTTTGCCCTTACTTGCTTAAAGTTATCAGTACTCAGTACTTGGCACCCCCCCCTCCCTCACCATTATATCGTAACCTGTAACTTATTTCTTTACGCTTGGGGGGTTCTCGACTCGATCCGGGAAATATCATGAAGGAATTTTTTTTTTTTTTTGGATATCTGGGATGGGAAGACACGAATCGGGTACTTTTGAGTCAGGTACGTCGCGTATAAGTACACGATTGCCTCGAATCAAGCGTCAAGTCCGAGGTTGATAGTGGACGAACTTCCGCCGTGCCAGAATAAAGACGAATGTTTCATACGGTAATTACATATTAACGAGTCAGAAGGTGAAGAACTATATGGGCATATGGTGTAGGGGTTATCACGTTCGCTTTGCATGGTCATCCACATGTAATAGTTTATGCGAAAGGTCTCCGGTTCAAATCCGGATTTGTCCATTTCCAAACTGTCAATTCGCAGTCTTTTTCCTCTTTTCTCCTAGTTGGTTTATTTTGTTCTCTTTGGAATGCACCAGCTCCCTGGAACGGCTAAATTGAACGGCTACTTGATGTATCATTACATTTATTGTTATATTACACTGTCTTTTTTGGAATTGTGGGATGCAAAATACATACAAACGATTCTCCTTGAATCAAGCTTCGAGCTCCGAGGTTGATAGTCAATGAACTTCGCCGTGCCATGAATAAAGACGGATGCTTGCTACGGTAATGGTTATATTACATATTACCAAGTCAGAAGGTGAACAATGATATGGGCATATGGTGTGGGGGTTATCACGTTCGCTTTGCATTTCCCTCTCTTGTCTCTTAATGCGAAAGGTCTCCGGTTCAAATTCGGATTTGTCCTTTGAAGAATAACCTGAACTGTTATTTTATTTTATTTCTTTTCCCTCTAGTTGTTTACTTTGTTCTCTTTGAAACGGCTACTTCATGTATCATTACCTTACAGTGTATTGTTACTTATATCATAATGTCACAAGGAAAAAAAACTATAGGGCATATGGTGTAGGGGTTATCATGAAGTTCGCTTTGCATTCCAACACCTGCTGGAGCATCTGTAAATGTGAAAGGTCTCTGGTTCAAATCCGGATTTGTCCACTGTTGTATGCGCCTGTTAACTGCTTTTTTGTTGTCAACTTGCGCACTTTACTGTGATGTGCATTAATGTTCATTGTTCATTTACTCAAGGACTGTTATGGAATAAGGCCTATATACTACCTATAGCTATTCAAAATTGACGTATGATCCACTGTGAGTTTGGAACGGCATTAGGTCTTGAAAGTGGGTACACCATGACCAGGTGACGACTTTGAGCTTCAGAACCGCCTGCTTTTCAAGTTCACAGGCTGCCCGGCAGCCAGACTGTCTGGTTATAGACAAAGGTCCTTTATGAATTTGGAATTGAATGTTGGAGGTACTACCTTGGATGCAAAGAACTAATTAATCAAAGCCTAGTAGTACCAAGAGTATACAGCCCCGGACATGTAGCCTTATTACTATCTTGTTGCTATCTTGTCGCTCGAAAGGCAAGACAAGCTAATACTGCCATGTCACCTCGAAGACGTGCTCATGCTACTCATAAAATCACAGCCAACCGTTTGAAAAGTAAGCGGAGGTACCGAATCGAGCATTAAATGCCCAACTAAATAGGATATTTCTCGAAAGTTGACAACATATGGCAGCCATACAGGATCAGGGCTCTTCCTAGTATTGAATTTAAGTCACCAGAGAAATAACTCTAATTTGAGTGTACTCACAGATTCACGCAATCCTGCCAAGCTGTTCCACCCACAAACTGAGCAAAATCCAGTCTCGTCGTGCCATCTTTATGAATGACAAGTGAGTTTTGTGGAAAATACAGGCCACGGTGCAACCAAGGTGGGACCCAGAGTATCGGTTGAGACATCGAGTTCAATATCCACCCATCTTGACAAAGTGAGCCACCTCCAAGCGCTCCCTTCAAATTATCATCTGGAATGGTCTGTTTAATGAAGATCTCTCAACAATCTTGTAAACAACAAATATAGGCAAGCACGTACCTTGAAGACACGTATTGATGTATCCCAAGAACTGGAAACGACCCACCTACGGTCAGGAGAGAAGTCAACAGATAATACTTTGCCCCTATGGCCTTCGTATGGACCAGCTACAAGATCCTTGGTCTCTAAATCCCACACACACACTGTTGTGTCATCAGATCCAGACACAATCCAGTTTCCATCCTGGGAGAAAGCAATGCCATAGATCCCAGTATGCCCTTTCAACTGCGTAAGAGCCCTTAGTCTAAGATCAAAGATCCCCACTACACCATTTTCCCCCAAAGACGCAATCAGTTGACCGTCGGATGAGAAGGCAACAGTGTCGTAGGCTACATCAGCCCTCTGTAACTCAAAGGGACCTTCCACCAGTGCTCCCGTTTGCGCATCTGACACCCTAGCAATGCCCGGAGTTGCAGAACTGATTTTTCCACCATCCATTGAGAAGGCAACAGAATGTACAGCTTCAGTATGTGCATCCGGTAGTCTAAGGACCAGTAAACCCATCCCGTTGCCACATCCCACACGCAGACTGTCGAGTCGAAAGACCCAGATACAATCCGGTCACCTTGTGGTGAGAATGCAACACACCATACCTTATCGGTGTGTCCCTCAAACGGGCCAGCCACCCTATCACCATTTTGCACATTCCATACCCCAATAGTCATGTCCTTAGACCCTGAGGCAATATGTTTTCCATTGGGGGAGAATGCAATGCAAAGCACCCTATCTTTGTGTCCATAAAGTGGCCCAGTGACAATGGTCCCTGCACAGGCATCCCATACACAGACTGTGCTATCCCAAGATCCCGAAGCAATATGATTCCCCTTGGGTGAGAAAGCAACACATTTGACAGCATCTGTATGTCCTGTGCACACTGGATGAGCAATCTCTGGGTCATTAGCCTCTATGTGCTGGCTGTCCACCTTGAATGCTCCAGAGAACTCTTGCGCATCCCAGACACAAATAGTTTTGTCACTTGAACCTGATACAATTCTCATTCCGTCAGGTGACACAGAGACAGAAATGACAGCGTTACTGTGGCCATCAATTGGGGCTGAGACAAGCTTACCGGTCTGCACATCCCAAATACGCAGCATTAAATCACTATACCCCACTACAATCTGTTCCCCATTAGGAGCAAATGTAGCAGAATAAGCTTTTGTAGCCATAGGGGTAGTGACAGTCATAATCTCAGCACCCATACATGCATCCCATATGCGAGCTGATTCATGCGACAGGGACAGAATGTATTTCCCATCAGGCGAGAAAGTAATAGAGCGGATGTATTGAGTATGCCCTTTCAATGGTCCAGTGATAAGTTTTCCTGTTAGGGTGTCCCATATGTGCACCAAACCGTCGTTTGAGCCAGAAACAACTTGTTCTCTGTCAGGTGAAAAAGCAACGGTCTGCACTGATGCTGCATGCTTGATGACCAGAGACACTGTACCAGTGCCCTCACTGTGTCCATCCCAATTCCAAATGTGAACGGTCTTGTCTAGAGATGCAGATGCAATCTGCTTTCCATTGGGAGAGAAGCAGACAAGATACACTGGGCCTTGATGTCCTGTCAGTGGAGCACCAATGATTTTACCTGTTTGTGCATCCCACACGCGCACAGTTTTATCAAAGGAGCCGGACACAATGTTTTTGCCATCACATGAGAAGGCAACACACCTGACATTATTGGTGTGTCCATTGAATGGCCCAACAATTAGATCACCAGTGCGTGCATCCCAGACCCGCACCGTCTTGTCAGCAGACCCTGAGACAATACGATTCCCGTTAGGCGAGAAGGCAACAGAATGAACCATGCCACTGTGACCCTTAATTGTTGCCTGCAGTCTCGGCCAATGACCGCCCACAGAGCTTTGGATGTTAACTATTCGACTTGGAACAAGGAAGGAAGAAAACTGCTTCTTGACTTTTGACTCAGTTGGTGCAAAGGGAAGTGCTGAAAGATAGATGTGGGGCACACTATGTGCAATGACAGGGGCAAATGCAATCACAAACTTGACTCCATCCTTTGCAAAATCTGCAAGTGTCTCCTCATGATAGCTCTAAACAAACAATTAGGACCAGCAATGCCAGTAACTCTGCAGAAACCCACTTTGGCAACCTTGGCCACAGCTTCAAGTGCATCTATTGCAATTCCAACTTTCTGCTGTATGCAGAGGACCTCAAGCCAAAACAGAAATTTGGTATACATCAGGTCCTTCAGGTCTGTGAGGAGGCCATCTGGAAGGTGTGGGGAATCAGAACCACTGGTTACTGCAAGGTGATTTGCCCAGTACAAGCTTGAATATAATAAATGGGGAGAAATGCAAGCTGTACTGCGACCGGGTAGGTCTGGGACTTGGGTGGTGTACATATATGAGTCTTCGAATCCACAGATATTGAATCGAAGTCCGTTCTTTAGGACCCGCAAACACCCATGCGCAATCTGCAACTCTAAGATAGACGGATCAATAAACCACGGCTTTTTGCCTGAACGACCATGGTCCATCAGATAGTCAGAGAAGGAGGTATGGAGTATCTTCACATGTTGGCCAGGAGCCCACTGCAGGACACATCTAAGTCTGTCAAAAATGCGGCTAGATGAGTGCTCCAGTTCTAAACCTAAGAGTGCATCAATCATTGCAACAGACACTGGAGTCTTCCCAAGGATCACTATAGATAATGCTGCTTGAGCTTCTCTGACAAATGTTGGGTCATTCCATGGTCCTGCAACTTCTAGTGCTCCAGTATAGAGATCATCAAGGGTGGTGAGACCCTTGTCTAGAAGGCTCTCAAGTGCTTTATCAGGGTAGTATGACTGCAGAAGGTATTTTGTGGCTGTTGAAGCCCAAATAAAGAGACCTGAGGAGTGCTTGGTGAGGACTTCCATTTTTAGCTCCCCTGGCCAGTTAGAACCCAATTTCTGCTGCTGCTGGATTTCTCTCATCTCATTGTCAAGGTAGATGCGGATGTCTGTGAGACAGGACGGCATTGTAATATCAAGCAGGTGCTTGGCATTCTTGGGCTGATTCTCAAATTTTGATGCAATATCAGAATCTGGGCGACTCGTAATGAAGAAGCGAACTGCAGCGGGGAGTTTGGGGAACTCATCTGAGATCAGAGAGACAAGACTCCGCCGGGAGTCTGCATTACCGCATTCATCCAACGCATCTAGAACGACAATGATTGGCCCATGGATGTGACTCTGTGATACAGTAAGAGGGTTGAGAAGGAGCTTCTGAAATTGTGTCTGGATGGGAGAGTCAATCGAGGCAGGATTGTGATCAATGGCAGCACAGATAGCAGATGCCACATGAATATTCGAGCGGGCCAGCTGGAATGCAATCGTGCGAATGACATAGCTGGGGTCACTCTTATTTCTGGTGAAGAACAGAAATGCACCAA